GTGGTCGTAAGTAATAGCGAGATACAGATATCATTATTACGGATAGACCATCACGTGTGACATTTTTTACTTGTGAAGTAAGTAGCTGATCTCACAAGTTAAAGTGTGGTGACACTTAAATGAACACGTGGATGTTTTGTTATAAAACAAAACATTGGAGACCCGCCGAGAGATTTCACATAGATGACTATCTAAGTGTCAGTGGTTAATCTCTAACGTTCGGTAGTGGAATTTGCCCTTTGACTTGAGGTCGTCGTGGTACCTTATGTGAGAACAATCATACTTTGGCAGTGTTAAATGTTGCTCTGCAAAGGGCCGCTAATACGACATCATTCGGGTATGTCAAGAATCGTATGAAGGTCGTGATTGACCAATAAAGGATTCGTCACTCTTAGATAGTAGGAGATTATGATCTGCGTTTCATTCAATTAAGTCGATGATGAAATCTTTGGCCAAGGTGTACACATAAGTCGAAAATGAGTTTTCGACTTATATTGACTTAATAGTGGAGTGAAAGATATGATCGATAATCGAGATTGACACACCTCCATATCTCGTAATTGATCGGATCATATTGACGAAGGGATTATAGTTTCACGGTAAACGAACGAGTTTGATTTTGTTATACCACATGACATTCCCCGTCACATGTGTTGCCCTGATACATTGCTAAATGTCAATATGGGATGGCGAGTGTGAATTGGTGATAAATTAAAAGAGCGTTTTAATTTATCAATTTCGATTAGATCAAAATAATATTTCACGTCGTTAGGCATCATGATCGGAAGCCTGATGGGTCACACACAAAAGAGAATTGGAAGATTGCAATTTGTTAATTAATTAATTTAACAATCGTTGGATGAATTAATTAATTGGGTTGGTTGTTTATAGGCCCGAATTGATTAATTGGATTAATTAATTCACGGACCGAATTTAATTAAATGTATTAATTAAATATTGGATCGGACCAGACCAGACCCGTTTGGGCTTATATAAATAATGGCTAGGATTTTCAATTCATATAGTTTTTTCTCATAATTATTCTTGCTAGCACAAGAGAAGAAAACTCTGATAGCTGCAATCTTGTTCTTTGTGTGGATCACCGTTGGAGGCTGGACAATTGGACAACTGTGGGTGGCGAATCAAGATTGTTGGGACGAAAAGAAAAGCAAAAGGTTTGCAGAATTCTTCAAAGGTACAATCTTTATCACGATTTCTATCTAAACACAAATGGATTCTCGGTGGGAATTGAAATAATTTTAATTTTTCGCTGTGCATGTATAAGTAGATTCTCAACAGTTAATTAGTTACGTGATTAATTTGTTAATTAGCCAATTAGTTAGTTAATTACTCTTGCCATTTTCTCTATAAATACAAGACTTTGTATACCTCTTAGATCATTGGATGGTATTTCATTTTCCTCCTATCATGGAGTGTTTTTTTCATGGAACTTATTCTGGTTCCATTGTATTTTGTTATTCTCCATTTATGGAGTTTAATACTTTGTTTCTCTTTCAAGAATTTAACACAATTTAAAATATGTTAATTACTTTCTCAAAAAAAGAAAAAAAAAATCTGCTCATTTTCCATAAAATGGATTGTATAATTTTATGTATGGAGTCCATGCGACATTTAGGATGGCGGTGATTATATGGATTTATGGTTCATAGAATCACATCTTATAATATTTGGTCTGTAGAATTAATTATTGAATTGTGAGAAAATTGATGTGATTTTTTTATTTTTATTTTTTGAAATTTTGAAATTGTATTAGGAATGATTTAGAGTGGGACGAATAATTAAAATTTGTGTGGATGTATAGTTTTTAAGTGAAAAAATTTAATAATAATAAAATTGGAATATGATGTGGATGAAAATAGTAATTTTTAAAAAAATTTATATTTTAACAGGATGGATATAGAGTGGGATGAATATATAACAATAGTGAATGTAAATAGCGTTACAGCCATCTTTTCTTTGCTGATGACTCGTAGGTGTTGTTATGGGCTAAACAGTCTGACTTTCTGTCAGATACTCCTTCATATGCTACTTTTTGAAATTTTGAAATTGTATTAGGAATGATTTAGAGTGGGACGAATAATTAAAATTTGTGTGGATGTATAGTTTTTAAGTGAAAAAATTTAATAATAATAAAATTGGAATGTGATGTGGATGAAAATAGTAATTTTTAAAAAAATTTATATTTTAACAGGATGGATATAGAGTGGGATGAATATATAACAATAGTGAATGTAAATAGCGTTATAGCCATCTTTTCTTTGCTGATGACTCGTAGGTGTTGTTATGGGCTAAACAGTCTGACTTTCTGTCAGATACTCCTTCATATGCTCAGTTTATGAAGCAGCCTTGGGTCAGAAAGTTGATCTCTAAAAGTCAGTCACCTTTGGTCTGGATGGGAATGAAGCGTTGGGTTCATAAGAGTGTCAGCTTTCATTATACTTATTTGGGATTGCCGATTATTGTAAGGAGAGGTACACAAGCTAGCTACTTTTACTATTATTAAGGGGACAGTTTGGAAGTGAGTCCAAGGATGAACACGGAGTCTATTCTCAGCTGGAGGCCAAGAGGTGTTCGTTAAATCGGTAGTCCGGTCTATCCCTACCTATGGGATGAGTATTTTCAAGCTTCCGGAATCTATCTGAGAAGATCTTCGTACAATTGTGAGCAGATTCTGGTGGAGGAGTGAGAGATGGCCAGAGGAAAATTCCATGGGTGCGGTGGAGAGCAGTGAGTCGGCCTAAGAGGCTTGCTACTCTGGGGTTTGAGGATGTTGGCAATAAAAATACTTGTACAGCACTCAAGTGCTATAAAAATTACAGTCCTCTCACATGTGTGGGACTCGCAATTATTTTAATCACAGACCCCACCCTTTATATGTGAGAGGACTATACAAATTGCTGTACAAGTAGTACTTTTGGCTAACAAATACTAGAGAAACGGGACTTGTTCAGTTGTTCTCAATGTTGATTCCTACCATTGGAAGAGTATAATATGGGACAGGGTGTGAGATGGAATAAAAATTACAGTCCTCTCACATGTGTGGGACTCGCAATTATTTTAATCACAGACCCCACCCTTTATATGTGAGAGGACTATACAAATTGCTATACAAGTAGTACTTTTGGCTAACAAATACTAGAGAAACGGGACTTGTTCAGTTGTTCTCAATGTTGATTCCTACCATTGGAAGAGTATAATATGGGACAGGGTGTGAGATGGAGGATTGGTGATGTCAGAGCGGGGAGGACGTTTGATGACCCTTGGTTGCCTTGTTCCATGACAAAAAGCGGGAACCTCCAGCAGCATGCAAACTCAATTTGTGCAGAGATGCAGCATTGCGGGTCGGATCTGGTATCATGCAGTGGATGATGCTGAAGCAACTGCAATTCAGGATGGTCTGGCTTTTGTCAAAGAACACCATCTTGAGTTTGAGGTGGTTGAAAGTGAATTCTGTCCATGTGATTCAAAGTTTCCATCATTTTTTTTTTATTTTTTTTATTTTTTTGGGTGACATTGTTATGTTACTTACTGATGTTAATTGTGGCTCTTGTTGGTTTATTCCTCATGATGAAAATAAAGTTACCCACGCTGTATCATCTTTTTTGTTCCTGTGTTTTAGGTTCTCTTCAGTGTACAAATTGTATTTATTTCTTTTTGTGTCGGCCACAATTCGTGGTGATATGACTTGATGAAATTGGTTCTTGGTGATGGTTCTATGAAATTCCACTGCCTCTTGTCGTGCCCCGTACGTTCACATTCCGATCAGAATAGAGCTTACACTTAAACGTTACCTGCAAAAGCAATCCCCTTAGTTATCACCAGTTTGTTCTCTCAGTTCTTCCTTGTTTCAACATTTTCCACATTCCTTCAGTGAGCATTAAGCGCTTATGAGGAATTCACGAGTCGTTAAACCTATTTGAGATGCACGATATCACGTGAAGTAGACAAAAGCATTTTCATTGCCAAAAAGTTTCCTTTTTGACGTCTAATATTTAACTATTTGCCTTTTCTCCGATCTCTAACACGTCATCATCTTCTAAATTAAATTTAAATAAAGAAATCATTTTCATTCAATAAATATTCCTATTGCGATAGGAGAGAGGCCAATCAAGCCATATATCACCCAAGATCAAGCACGTTAATCCACCTCAAGCACTATTCATTTAGGGGCAAACCCTTTACATGATAGGCTAACCCGATGATGCACTACATCAATTTCATACCTTAAACCTGTCAGGGTAGCATGCTCTTAAAAGTTCCTCGTCCTAAGATCCTTAATAATACCACATGTAACCTTGAAGAAAGGAGATGAGGTAAAAACCAAATTTTGACCATAGTAAATTAGGAAATAGCATAGGTATGAGGTATCATCATGGGAGAGAGAACGGACCGAAGAACCACATTTTGGCAGTAACAATCAGAATTCCAGAATGAAAGGAAATAAAGAGCCATGGAACGAGTTTGGTTTGAATGTTGAGAAATTTATTGTTCCTGAAGTATTGATTTCTCCTTTTAACAATCTGACTTATTCTGCTTGAAGAATGAGGAACAGACAGGAAAGATGCAGAAACAGAATGAACAGACAAAATGAAAAACATGAACAGAAACGATGATTCCAGTTTTCACCGATTTCACGATGTGTCCTTAAATTGAATTTGCTTCCTTCTCTGGTGCTTTAAGGTAGTTAGCAATTCCAAGACCAAATGGATTTTCGTCTCTTATGGAAACAAGGCAGCAATATGTAAGTGTTTCCGCAAAACTCAACATTGTATATCCATTTGTACAAAAAACCTGTACAAGTAGCATTTTTGTGAAATATATCCAACGTGCCATTTTAAGAAATTCATCAAAAGATGAACACTTGGTAACGTTCCAATAAAATTTCCACCTTTCTTATCCAATCTAGCAAACCAAAACATGTGAAACTATATGTTCTTTATTTTCAATTGTGCACTCAAATCACAAAACTATGCCATGGGTGAAGGGAAATCCAGAGTGTTACTCTTGAGCACTTATTCAACAGAAAAAATAAAAATAAAAAACTAAAATCTTGTTCATCGTACAGCCCACATTAAATATTTGTCATCTTGAGAAGCGAAAGGACCTAAGCTAATAGTGATCCAAAAAAAGAAAAAGAAAGGACTAGCTAAAATGAGATTTCTAACAATTTTACATCAGGTTGGGATCGATAATGTAGATCAAAACACAACTACTCATATTTTGCAACAACGCCTTCAAGGATGCCATCAGATCTGAAATACGGTGAAAACAACCTTGGATCAACAGGGCCAGGTAGACTGAAGCAAAGCGTGAAAGTTCCAGGTGGACATTGTTGCTGAAATTTCATTTCAAAAACTCGAGAATACTTTGATACAGTTTTCACACCAGTTGATGTCACACCTTTGATGATAACTTTTCCATCCCTTTCAACCTCACAGCTAAATTGACCTGCTAAAATAAAAGTCATCAACAATTCGGGTAGAAAATGATTGAGAAATAAGGATATGAGTTTCATTTAGTAAGACTCCAGTATTGGCATGATTATGCAAGCCTACCTTCAAACAATGTAATGTAGATAATATTCCCATTTTGGAATCCTACCATGATATACTTCAATCTAATTGCAAGAGAAACAAGTAGTAAAACACAGTCTAAAGAATTCCTTTTTCTTCAAATTTAAAGGTGAAACATTTTAAAAATGCTAGACAGGGGTTCACTTTACCTCCTTTCGGTTCATGTGTTTTTTCATTTATTCACACATGACTAGCGAACCTCTTCATTTACTAGTTTTTCTTTTTCGGATTATTTTTAAAAGAAAATACTTCGGAAATTTAATTTTACAAGATTATTGGAAATATATGTTTTTATGTTGGAAAAGAGCATTATATAAATTTTCAAGAATGAAACAAATAAAATACCTAGATAAGAGTGTGGATTATTAAATATCATTCCCAACAAAGGCAGCTCTTTGTTCAATGTGGGGGCATTGGAGTGCTCAAACATTGAAGGGATTACCTATTATCTTTTCCCTCAAGCCTTGAGGGGAAAGGCTGGGGACTGAGGGCTGGACTGGGATTAAGGTTTGGAAAGAAGAGTTAAGATCTGTTGTCACGAACTTCTTGTTCCCTCAAGGAGATGAAAACAGACTGCTAAGATGAAGGCCGCAGCAAAGGCAATGGAGGTAAATTGTAAAAGAAATTTGCTATCCCAGACCTATAAATAAATCTCATTTTTTCATTTTTTATTTTTGTCCGGACGAACTGGCTCATGAGCTTGCAAATGTGCTAGTCCATCCGGGCCAAAAATTGATGCCCCACATAACCCACATCTCTGAGCAGGGCGAGAACGTAGCCCAGTCGTGCTAGGCCCAGGTTTTCCATGGGTTGGGCCATCCAGTGCCTGACGAACTGGCTCATGAGCTTGCAAATGTGCTAGTCCATCCGGGCCAAAAATTGATGCCCCACATAACCCACATCTCTGAGCAGGGCGAGAACGTAGCCCAGTCGTGCTAGGCCCAGGTTTTCCATGGGTTGGGCCATCCAGTGCCTGTGCAGCCCAACCCAGTTTACACCACTATGTATACAATACTTCACTAGGTTATAGTCAAAGAACAATAAATCAGCATAACTGCAAAACAGTTTACATTAATTTGCTATAACAACCGTAAAAGATAGATGAACCAAGAATGAAACAAAATCTCCTGAACTATTGATTTCATTTTGACAGTTGCAGTATGTCTTAACTATAAAAAACAAATCATAAAAGCAGATAAACTTAGACGTTTAAAGAGAAAGATCCTTTTTTTTTTTTTTTTTTAAATAAAGCCATACAACGTAACATGTACCAAATTAGTTTAGCACTGCTAGATTGACAGGAACTTATCCTTCCTCATCCAAAAAGTCAATAGTTAGTTTGCCAGATAAATAATTTTATGACAGAAGTTATATTGTCTTGAACAGAAGTTAAGTGACATGCCAAGAGCCACTTATCTCCCAGCAATTCCCAAGAGTTGTTCATTTTATAAAATAAACGGCAGAATTATTCTACTATCAATAAGTCACCTAATTGGCTAGTAATTGTATAGTACATGGGGATATAAATCTAAAGTACTTGGAATATGCTCCAGGAGAAATATGAAGAGGAATTACCAGGATCTTTCTTGACTCCAGGTAGAGCAATGCGAAAATAATATGCAGATTTGCTAACACCTATATCTACAGCTCCTACGGGTGGTCCAATTCCCCCTTTACAAGCTGTTCCTGTCAAGATGAGTGAAGCATTAAAATAATACCTATCCACATTTGGAATTGGTAACAAGGGCATCATGTATGGCTTGTCCAGATTGGAGGCGCTAGGAAAAGCAGAGACTTGCAAAGAATCATTATCACATCTCTTTTCCCCGTGATCTTGGCATTTACCAGAATCCTTCTCCAAATCATTTGCATCCAGTTTGGTTATACTTTGATTATGAACAATTCTCTTCGCCATCTTCTCAGAATCTAAGGTATCCATTCCTCGATTTGCCGTATTTTCATAACCAGATTTTATCTCCAACAAAAGTTTCCCTGTTACATGTGAAGAATAAAGTTTATGAACAAGAAAACAATCACCACAAGAACTTTTGAAGATAAAAAAAGTTGAAGGAAGAAAATGGCATTTGCTAGATACCATTCAACATCAAATAAATTAGAGTGCGGGAACAAGGAGTAATAAAAAAATCAAATTTTCATATTTACAATGAGTTTTCAGCAGTGACCATTTTCTTAGCTCATGTAAGCATCCACAACAGCACCTAAATTCCGTTATAATGTAATAATACTCAACTACTACTGACTCAAGTAAACAGAGAGAGAAAGGGGGAAAAACAATATTTGGTTTGAACTGCTCCTAGTTTTTATCACAGCATCTAAAAACATAAATGTAATTTTGCTTTAACAAATTCCATCCCCTGCATAAACTCCTTGAACTTTGTACGTGTCAACCACAACTGAATGTCCTTGCATTTGATTTTAAGGACCTCCTCACACGAAGGGAACTTTCATCTGCTTCTGAGGATCACAAGCTTTGTCAAGCATGACTCCAATGGGGAGAAGTGTTAGAATGAAAATCTCAAGAGTTCCATGATTTTGAATTCAGATAAATTGCCAGATTATTCAATGAACAGTATTCAAAATTCATGAAGGTATGCAAGGAAGGTCCATTTGAGGAGTGGGAGGTGAACTACGATCAAATCAATTATTTCCAACATAACAAAATCTTTATACCAAATTCCATAAATTTTCTCTTTCAAAATTGAAGCCAATTCTTCTGCTATCTCTACCTGAGCACAATTACCTACTTGATTTTTTTCCTTCCTAAAACAAGTTTCTTCGGCAAACCTGGAAATTTCTTCAGGCATTCACAAGCCAAAAGTTTGGCATTAACACTTTTGGAAGCTGAGTGACCAATACACTAGGGGATAGGAAGATCCAAAAGCCCGTTTGGTGCCTCATCAATGAAATTCCATACAGTAGTTAATCAGAAAAGTTCACATATCTGTATTAAATATTGACGGCTTAACTCACTGCACAAAATTAAACATTCTACAGTTATCACTGGTCCTATATAATCTTCGGAACACTTGAACCTGCTCTTCCAGCACCATTGAACACAAAATGCAGAAACCACCCAGTGACCCCGAACACAAATTTCCAATTCGGTCACATGACTATCACACAGAGTCACAAGCTGCTTTTCCCAGGCCATGTTCCAGCCCCGTTCCTCTGATCCAACATGGGGTCACTTTAGCATAAAAATGGCAGTGATTTTTAATAAACTCCTAACAAATGACCAATTTCAAGCAATGAAACTGGGTACAAATCATTTTTTAACTGTTACACCAACTTAATATTTCTAGATGCTAAAACAAATTTTTATCCCCATTCCCCAGAATTGTTATATTGGTCCTAACCCAGAATGTATATAACGAAATACATAAAATAAAAAATAAAAAATCGAAGACTAGAGACAGAAAATGATTAAAATAGTTAAGCATACTGAAATATAAACAAAATGGGCAAAGATGAATTTGCGAAACATAAACAGCAAGAAGAATAAAAAAAATCAATTCAAAAGTTAACAAGAGGCAAAAATATAAGGTGGGTAGTACGAGAATTTTACGAATTAATAGTGAAAACAGAAGGCGTTTGGAGGAGAAATGGAGAGTGAGTGCAGCGAAAAAACAGACAAGAACTTACGTCTTCTTTTTTTCCCCTGCAGACGGTGCGAGTCTTTCAATGTAATAATTAATTTATATAAATACTGACATAATAATTATAAAAGTGTATTTCTGACTTTCATTAAAAATAAAATGTAGTTTTAAAATGAGTTCATTTCATTACTGAATTTCAGGTGAAATTTCTAATTGGTCATTAATATATTTTTATGACATATTTAATTATAATAAAGCGAAATGATTTTAAGTAATTAATCACTTCTTTCCAAACCCGTTCAAATTTCATATCGAACAGATAAATCTTCCCATAGACCGAAATAGTTAAAATTAGTCTTAATCCTAATCATATTTTCATCAATAATAATAGCAAAAAGGTCATAGTAGAGCTAAAGCAAGAGGTCATCCGCAAGGAATTGGTCGCAACACATTGAAGATTTTTACTTGATGACCATTTTGAGTTTATTTAATTCGTAAGTGATGGATATAATGGTTTGAATTTTAATTGAATACAATTTGCCGATTTTAATTTTATTTAATTGAGGAACAATTTTGTTACACTACATTGGGGAGATTGATGCAGACAGCATACTAAAATTACTATTTTTAATCTCCTTTTGAAATTAAAATATATAAATTTATACAAAGTCAAGTCATTCCTTGCCAAATTCTTTTCTCATTCAGTACATATTTAGCTTAGTTTAAAGCTACTCCTCCAAGTTACTTATAAGTAATAAGTAAATTTTTAACTGCATCATCATCCAACATTCAGATGCCAAATCCTGTGACTTCGTTAATGACAGGATAAATTGTGAGAATGTGTAACAAAGGCCGTCATAAATTACAACTGAAGAAAACACGTCAATAGCTGAGGAAAACAGAGAAAATCGACGACTGACTACCAGTAACTTGATAAGCAACTACTGCTACTATTGATAATACTACCACAACAGCCAAAGCACAAACTAAAGTTCCAGATGATTAAGCCATTAACTCTACTCGGGTGCTTCCCAGAATACCAGAGTCGAGATGGAAAGAAGCCCGGTGTCCTTATTATGATGACAGAATAACAAAGTTATTACAGTACACTGCTGTCTACACAACTAGTATTGTGCAGAAGATCATTTCCATGGCATGCCTTGAATGTTATTGTTACTGAAAGGTCCTGTGCTCTGATTGAGTGGACTTGCAGGCCCGCCAGAGGATTCGCTGAGAGTCCCGTGCGATGGTGAGCTGCTGGCACCAATTGCACCACCCCGGTTGATATTTGGTGGAGCCGATGAAGGCTCCATATGGTTTGCCGGTTTTGATTCCTTGCGACCATCTGCTAGAAAACTGCCAACAATTACCTGCCAAGTGAGAGGATTTACTTAGTAATGCCAAAAAAACATTGTTGATGCATTACATAGCACTTAGAGCATCTCCAATCACGATGTAAAATATATTTAGATCTCCAAAGTGGTCGGAAACCTCTCCAACGGAGAAATGTAAAGGAAAATATGTAATTCTTACATCCAAAAGAAACAAAAAAGTGAATTTCGATCTTCCATTGGAACAATTAATGAGGATGCAAAAGCGGTTTCAAAAATACCAATTTACACCCAATTTTACATCACCATTGGAGATGCTCTAAGCAATAACATCATGAAATACTTTTGAGGAGCACGATCTGTGGGCCACAGCGTGTTCAGTTCAAATATACTGTCTTTGGGATAGGGAGGAATTTTCTTTCTTATCTTGATCAAAATATTTCTGTTATTGTCTTTACTGAAAAATCCAAGTGCCAGTTCAATGATAGTAACACAAACAGAATTTAAGAGGAAAAAATTATTTGATCGAAGCAAATTAATCAACTCAAGACGAGTAAATGATGGGATCTGACCCCACAGCTGCAATTAGGAGTATACGCACACCAACCAAATACTAGTGAATCCACTTTACATATACACCCAAAAAATATGAATTATAATAAAAAAATTTGATGTAGTCTAAATGGAATTGCCAGCCCAAAAGAAATGCCGACCTTCCAAGTCTTGTTCTCAAGGCAACAGTTCAGATACCATGCTCTTAGTTGAGCAAGCTTACCGCAGCACTAGAGTAAATAAACATTTGAGTTCATTAATTGATATGACTGAAACAACACATTAACTTCAACCTCATTGCAAATGCTAAACTGATTAATACTCCTCTCACGTAAGTATTACACGTGTTCCAAGATGTTGCAGAATGGACTAAAAATTAAAATTAGTGTCTATATGCAGTAAAAGAGTCAAAATAAGAGGAAGCAAACCTGGACAGGGGATGCAGCAATTAGTAAACCAGCCACACAACCTCCTAGAACTCTTCCATCAGGACCAGCTAATGTGATGCTTAATCCACCATTTCTGCTTCTCTGGCCGCCAACTTCTGATAGCATAAATGAGCCAGAAAGGGACAAAATCTCAAACCGCCCCTACATAAGGAAAAACAATAAGGAATTCACAAACAGATGTGATAAATAAACTATTCCATCCGGAGAGATTCCTGAGAAAACATGGCCATTTTAGTGGATTATAAATAAGAACATAAAGGTTAAATAACAGATTACTAAATTTCTGGTAGCCCAATACAAATTGGGTTGTACAAAGTAAAACATCACAAGATTCAGACACTAGTGTTATTCCTAACCCGCGAAAAGATAAATTATCTCTAAAAGAAAGGATTGACCATAAATACCACGCAATCATTGCATAACTTAAACAAATTTTGAATTCATTAACAACCCAATCCATCAGATTTCATTATTATGATTAAATGTAAAGGGAAATGGAATAAAACGAATAAATAGATACAAATAAAAAACCTCATAAGTTGCAGTTCCACCAGATGTTGCAGCTTGGCTGAGTGTCACATTTGAGATAGCACCATTTGCAGATAGGACACAAACGGCCCTTGGACCATTTTGAGAAAATGCCATTATTTTCAAGGAAACATCCTGAAAAACCAGTTAATAACAATTAGTAACATTAAACATAATATCATCCCTTGTGAATTTCATAAAAGTGTGCATGTCAAGATCTTGAGCAGGTAAAAGTCTAAATCAATTGACTATTATCACTGAGAGTACCTGCCAAAAAAAAGAGAGAAGAAAAAAGAACCATCTCCCATTAACATAACCTTTGGATGAAATTCAGTTTTAATAAACACAATAAAAGAAACGTACAGATCAAAAGCAGTGACTTGTGATTTGATATAATACTAGTGTACTTAAAATAAATGCAATTGTATACGAAATATAGAGAATCATCAACCACAGAAATGGTACAAAAAAATCCATTGCAATTAGTTAAGAAAAAACTTTCTGATTTGAGAGAATTTACTAAAGACTAGGATCTAGGAATAATGAATGTTTTGTTCACAACGCAACCATAATACCTACATAAGCCACAACAGAAAATAACAACTTTTTGTCAATATGGCAGAGTTTTGTGAGCCAAAGACATCCAGGTGGAGCATCGGTGCTTCATTATAAATGTCTAACTAATTAATCCATCACTTCAGTATTTTGCCACATATTGGTCAATAATCACGTATTCTTTGAAGTGCGAATGCAATCCTACCACGTCGACTCAATTAATTAGCTCAACGTTCAAAATAAAACAGAATATTGTAAAAATTAGTTAACACAAAATAACATAGTAGTATTAACCAAGCAACAAAAAAAGTTATTATAGCATAATGCTTTAGTTATCTGCAATTCCAGTCAAACCTAAGTTTGAACCTTCTGTATCTTTCAAGCAATTACATATCTTTTTCAGGATGAAGTATATTACAGACCATAAAAGTAAAATCACAAAGAAGCCACTTTTCTTCTGCTCTAGGAGTATACAACCATAAGGAATTTACTCTACCACGTTAAGTATTTCTCATCTAGATTAACGATTGAAGTCGGTAAAGAATTATTTGGTTCCTAAGTCCTGTTTGAGCCACATTCTTTTAAAAAAAATGCATTTTTAAATAGTGATTTGACATCATTTCAATTCACACATTCTTCAATAAAATAATGTTACAAGCAAATCCAAATTTTTTCCTCATTTTTGAGCCACAGATTCTCCATCAATCTACATTCTAAAATACATTCTTTCAAAATAATGTGGCTCAAATACACACGTAGTGAAAAATGAGTCAATTCCAAAGTACTAAATAGAATTGTACATACGGTTACCAAATAGAGACATTCAAAGAATTTGGTGGAGTCATTACAGTATCAGCTGCATTCATTGCACGTTATATTTTTAAGATAAGATAAATAATAGTCTTTGCACTTTTAATTATATGAAAAACTTGAAAGAACATTTATGATGAAAATAAAACAAGGCTCTTGGCAATTCTAATTAGTAATTAACTGTGTCAGTTCCCTAGACAATCAAAATAGATAGAATATTCCTTCAAAAAAAATAATAATGAATGTTCGTTCCACTGACTTAACAAATAAGAACCAAAAAGGTAAAATGTCAACCTCTCCTGCCTTCACGTTGATAACATGCGGAGTAAATCCAACACCAGTTGATCCTGAAAAGAAAAAAGCTCTATTTCAGCATTATATAATTAAGTCAATCATTAGATTCCTTAAATCAACAGTATAAGTCAATGATTATGGTTCAACATTACAATACAATAAGAAATTTTATCAATTGCATGAAAAAAAAAATGAGGAAATTAAAATATCATACAAGTGTGACTAATATAGAAGAAAATTAAAAGAATACTAAAATAAAAATGAATAAGATGAAAAGAAAAGAATATGGCACAAGTCTTCTTAAATTTAACCAGTATAGCTTCTTCATGGGCATCCGAAACACACAACAATAGTAGGCAGATATATTACAACAAAAAGAAAGCAATAAAGGGGTATACTGGTAATCTTCTCTTCTATAAAATTTTGGAGACCCAAAGTTCCAGCAGACACCCATGCCGCAAGTTGATTTCATTCACCCATGAATATAGTATACCAATTTCTCTATTACTATATTATAGCTTTAAAAACAGAATAATGCCTGTAGTCGCCGTATGATACGGCAATTTATTATTTGATGCATAGAGCAATAAAAAAAACTAATGTATCAAATAACAAATTATCATGTGGTATGCCAGGTTGGACCAATAATTTTCACTATTGAATAGCATTACTCTTGAAAACCACCACCAAAACCTATTTTTAGTTGTTTCCTATTACAACTAGCAGTAAATAAAGAAAGAATAGAAAATCAATAAACAAAAGAAACACGTTTGTTTATACCTAAAAATAAATCAAATTATTTTTTAAGTTATTTATTTTGTCAAATATTTTTTAGAAACCAAAGTTAACCATGACAAAGATTTGATTTTTCAATCAAGGATTCATCAATTAATTTAATTCAAACCGAATCTAGTACATTAGCCATACATTACATATATACATTTGAAGGAACGAAGGGTCATTACCCATAGTTTCCTTTTGTTGCTTATTGCTTGAACCACGAGGTCTGCCTCTCCCCTTCTTGGAAGATGGCGAGGCCGATCCGCCCAGAGCAGGCTGCGGCTGTGGAGGAGTTGCAACAGATGATGGACTAGCCATAGACTGTGAGAAAGTTCCACTGGTCGGCGGAGGTGGGGAGACACCGACGGGCCGCTGGGCTGACGTCATACCCATTGACATGCTACCATCGGGCCCGTACTTCCTTGGCCGCCCCCTCTTCCGCTTCTGCTCGCCAGAGTTCAAGTTCGTCGCATTTTTTACCGCGGCGACGCCAGTAGGGACGGGATTGTACGGCTGCGGGGATGATCCTTCGGGCCTGTACACAGTGGCACTGCCATCGGTGCTGTAGGCCATGCGCATAGACTGATCCAAGTGCGCCTGCGATCCCGCCGGTGCCGGAGGATTATGAACGGCGGAGGAAGCGGGTGCAATGGTAAATTGCTCCCGACTCGTCATCAAAGTTGTGGCTTCCGTCCCCGACATTTTCTTGCCGGGCTTCTGGATTTAACTTGAATTTTTTTGAAAATTACCTGACAGAAAAACCACAGAACAAAATGAGATCTTCTGCTGAAGAACTAAATCCTATTCACATTTTGAAAGTTTTTTAATTCTATTATCACTCATGACTGCACTGAAACATAAAAACATACGCACACTTAGAAGAAAAAATCAAGTGAAATTTAGGAAAAACTAGTGAGAATTCAAAGAAGTTTGAACACTATCAGCAAGCTTTTGCCATTAAACATTCAAAAATGAGCTGAATTTTCAAAATTTTGAAAGAAATTGACCAAAAAAGCTCGAAATCGCCTTTAAACAGGAAAATCAGTTTTTGAAAATTTTGATTTTCACAAATTTAAGAATAACAAAATAACCCTAAAATTGAAAAGAAAATTAAGAAAATAGCAGAAAAAATAAGAAAAATTAAAAAAATCTCAAAATAAATTGGGAAAATTCTTTGAAGCAGCGAAGAATTAAATAGATCGAAAGAGATAAGCAACCGAATTTTTTTTAGGGTTTTGAGAGTAAAGCTTTTTGTAAAATAATTGGGATCGTTAATTAATATATATTTAGAGAAGGGCGTGGCATTTTCAGTAATTATTTTCCTACTTCTAACATCTTCTGTACGAAGAATTTCCCCAAAAATAAAAATAAAAATAAAGATATTCGTATAATTTATTGATTTGTTCATCGAACTCATCATTACTTTCTCTCGTACATTTAATTTATGTACTCGCTGTCGTTTCCCCACGCGTCATTTAATTTGCAGAGCTTTGTATTAGAGCAAATAATAGAGCGAGTGGATTTGATTCTTCAGTTCAGCGCGTGAACTTAGATAGGAGGTCAATTTCTAAAGAAAAGTATTATAATCATAAATAGTGATTAATTATAATGTATTAGGCTTAATACATATTTAATTATTAAGGATAATCCAATTCAGATTCTACTATTGCAGATTAGGTAAATGGTAATTAGTATAAAATTTATAATTACTTAATTGAATCCAACTCACATATCAGCATTGGATAAGTTGGCAGATGCATATTTATCATATATAAGTCACCTCATCAATACATAAATAAAATACAAGGACAAAATATTCTTACTCATTTTTTAATTATTGGTGTCTTTTTAATTTCTCATAAATTATTAAGTACGATGAACTCAAAAAAAAAGGTCAAAATATTTAAATATCGTTCTTGAGTGCGCTCTTGCTCTTCATTTAGTACAATTCTGTTGTTAAACTATAACGATCCGTACGAGTAATATAATAATTAATAGTAATTAACATTTTCATCTTAAAATAGACTAATATATAAGTATACATCTGACGTCAAGTATCGGCTCAACACTCATCAAGTTTTCATGAAATGTTGAAACTTTATTTTTATTTTTTTCATTTAAGAAATCCATTGTGAATTCTAATAACATGGTGTTTTAGAAGTTTTTGAGCCGCGTAACAAAATATAGATGTTTAAAAGAATCAATATCCAAAAGCGAATATGAATTCCTTCAGGTTGATGTGATACAGAAAATAGACAATGATCTAGAGCTTCGTCTAAATTCAAAAACTTTGTTAAATAGAATAACCAGACAAAATTAATATTTTATTTTCAGACTTACATTTTATGTCTTGATTATGCTTTTTATTATAAGAACATAATGAACGCTTACATAACAATCCACAGGTAGCATTGGAGACTAATTGAATGATTACAATTTAAATTTATGATTTAATAAAAAATTACTAAAACGAAATATATCACAAAGTCCATTATAATAGAATAATTAAATGTATATTTCTGATGTAATAAATTTTCTAAAACAAATTTTATTACGTCAAGCATTTCAAGGTTTTTCTTCCCTCATTTTGTCCACGTTTGGCCCCCATTTTATAGAAATGAAAATAAGTGGAATAGTATTTTTTTGAAAAATGAGTTATTGAAAAAGAAGTAAAAATTTTCAATTTATGTAATATTATTTTATAAAAAATTGTGTAGATGAAAATAGAAGAAAAAAATAAAATGTAATGAAATGAAAATTAATGGGGATCGAACAGGAGCTTTAATACGCTCAACATCTCCTTTACTGAAATCCTAAAAACACAAATTTTTAAGAAGTTGTAGTTCGGACATCAATTCCCAAAAAATAAATAAATAAATAAATAATAATAATAAAATGTATTAATTTTTATATATTGAAACAGAATACACGCTAAGTAACTTGTGTAATTTCAAATAATAATATATTATATGCATGTCAACAATATATTAAGTAGGAATGGTGAAGAAACTTTTAAATATCAAATTTATCCCTACTTATTTAATTATATGCCCATTATACTACCATAATTGGAATACAAATTTAATTAGTATTTATCATTTGGTTTAGAATTAATATAATATAAGGAATGAAATATTTAATTGATATTTATCATTTTGAATTGGAATTAATATAATAAATGAAACTAACACTCAATTATAATAGAGAGAGAGAGAGAGAGAGAGAGAGAGAAATTAGTGACTTATCATTCAATTGATCATTTTTTTTCTTACAATTTTTATTTCTCACCAACAAATCAAATTTTAGTTTTCATCAACAAAATCCTATTAATCTTCATGATTTACATTAATTCTTGCAATGAGTTTTTATTTTTTATCAACAAAGCAATTTTTAATCTTCATGCTTTATATTATAATTCATCCATTAAATTATTATTTAATTGAGATTACAAATATTTTAAAGAATGCATTAATATATTAATGAGAACATTCAATTAATACAAAAGAAATCACACGAAACTTCAATGACTAACATTCAATTGATTTTTTTCTTTACAATTTTTAATTTTCATAAAAAAAACCCTTAGTATCAATTTAATTAATATTTATCATTTGATTTAGAATTAATATAAATGGTGAAATATTTAATTGATATTTTTCATTTGGGTTGGAATTAATATAAGGAGTGAAACTGATATTCAATTATTTAAAAAAAA